TCCCGGCAATTCTCGAAGGTTCGAGAGAACGAGTCACGTGACCTCGCTGACGCAACAGTATTATTTTAAAACGAGTGGATTGTGTGCTGTCCATTTATTGTTGAAATTTATCGCCAACAAGTCACAGACACCTACTGTAAATAGTTAAGCCTTCATAAAGCAATCCACTTTTTTTCAAAGAAGAACCATAGCTTTGGTATTTTGTATTTGTGCAAAACGAAGTTTTCTCGCGTTGGGATGAGTAATGGTCTTGTTTTCATATGGTTTTGTACGTTGTGATGAGTAATGTTATTGTTTTCATGTGATTATGTATGTTGTGATGAGTAATGGTCTTGTTTTCATGTGGTTTTGTACGTTGGGATGAGTAATGTTATTGTTTTCATCTGATTACATACATTGTAGTGAGTAATGGTCTTGTTTTCATGTGGTTAATTTCCTGTTGGGACAGCCGTAAGTTTACGGACTTACAACTCTAGAATCCGGGGTTTGATTCCCCGAAGTGAGCACAGCAGGTAGTCCAAAGTTGTAAGGAATAGTCACTGCACAGAAAACGAGTTTTTGTAAACATACTTCTTGATTATAGCAGTATTTATGACATTGTACGATATGATAAGTAAAGATGTTCCCAAGTTCAACTTGTCATTTAGTATATTACTTTTTCTTAAAGTTTATTTTAGTTTGCACGGCTGATACCCGTTTCATCTGAATTAATGGTGGTGGTGTTATGTTTTGAAGGTTATTTTCTCACACTCAAATTGAGTTTCTTTGCTAAAATTACAATTCTTGTTATAATTATGTGATATTGACTTTGAAATTGCTTCCTCTAAAAGGGGAGGACAGAAATTCTTGCCCTAATAAGAGCTTTCTCGGGTAATTCATTTAAATAATGGCTATAAACTGCTAATATCGACAGGATATATGGATAATATCTCAATTGTTTTTATCCATGTTTGCCACATTTTGAGATCTGCGAAGTTCTGTGAGTGGTCTTAGGTTTTCCTTTTGGGATTTAACTTTTGTCTTTTTACGTTTCTTATTTGGATACCTCCATTTTCATTTTCTTCGTCTGAATTGTTTATATCCATCTAGTAAGTAGACATAGCTAAATAAGCCGTATCATTGGTAGATATCTGGTCATGAAGCAGCATTAATTTTATACTTTCTCACATTTCTATATATATGTATTCATATATTTAGGCAGTGTCTGAGACATGCATTTTTAAACTACAAGCTTTTAACAGAATAACTCGTGGAAATGCAAAATGCAGTAAGAAAAGGAAAGACAGTATAACAGGTTTATCCTGAAAAGGAAATGTCTGATTAACTTCAAAATTTAAATCATGTATAAAAAGTAGGTTATGCAGAAATTCGTGACCTTTCCGACAAAAAGCTGACTACCCTTTTCTCAAATTCACTTCAAAGTGGATAAAATATAGAGTCCCGAAATGTATAGAATTATAAGTTTAATGAAATATAGCTCAAGATAATGCTAAAAGTGGCTGAAAAATAAAGAGGAGCGCTAATAGTTTGTGAGGAAACGACTATTTAATTAATTCAAAAATGCAATAAAAGTAACTTTTACAGCAGGGAAATTCTGATTTTGATAAATAAAACGTTTCTCTCATGTGTTTTTGGTTAGGATATTTAATTGGAATTAAATATTTAATTTGCTGTAAGAAATCCTAATCTAGAGGTGGCTTCTGAAATTCTCTTTAGAACTCTCAAATTATCTTATTTATATTTTTAAAAAACGTTTTTGTTTCCACATTTCTTAATAGAACTCATAACATTTCAAGTACTGAACACGTTATTTTCATTGATGTATTAGTATATTTGTACACATACAATCAAACTCTCATTTACAATTACCCTATTTTGGTCACAGCTAGTTGTGATGATTGGTGTGCGGAAACTTTTGGACTTCGTTTTTACCCAAAGAGAACTAAAAATTCTGGATGACGTAATGCCTGAATCCACCAAGCGGAAACGAGAGGATAAAAAGAAGGAAAAAGAAAAACTGAAGGTAAAGTTTTTTAAACAACTATGGCAACTTCAGTTAGTATAATAGGTTTCGAAATATCTATTACATTTATTATTATAATGTATTTGAAAGCATTTTCACTTTGTGGAAACTATTTCATTCAAAAATATAAAGATTAGTTAAAATATCATTTTATTGGACCAAACAAAATTTGGCATATGGAGAAGTTTAGTTTTTCAAAGAAGCTCTAGCTTGCCACAAGGATCCCAAGTGGCCTGTATCCTCTTTAATTCATGCACAGCTGATCTTCAATAACACCATATATTATAAGTGCTGCAAGCATCTCACACACATCAGTGGAAGCAGTGGAGGCTACAAGGAGACATCAGAAATCTGTAAGTGGACTATACATAATAAAATGTCCATTCAACCAGATAAAACCTGCTGGATTTCGCTACCAGATCTCAGACTGACACTCCTCTCTTCACCCTAAGATATGTAGGCAAAAGAGTTCACTTGAGAATTTTGTTACTGTTCTAGATATTGTAATGAGCCACAGAATGGCAATATCTTTATATTTAACATTGGAGAGGGAAATCTCTGAAGAGTCTTACCCTTTTCAAATATGCTGCAGTTCAGAAATCGTAGGAAAGGAACCTCATTAATCTGATGGAAGCGACAGTCATAACCAGAATGGAATGTGAAATCCACTTTCGTGCATCAGCAATGACCAAGTTACAGATGGTGTAAAATGCACAAATGAGAATAGCAACTGGAGCAGCCAAACCCACACCCTGTAACACCCTAAATTTTAGGCTTGGTTTGAGAAGAATTACTACAGAACAGAGGATTATAACCAGACAAGCACTACTCAGGGCAACTAAACCATATCTCATCCACTATATCAACACTTGAGAGAGAGGGCAGATAGTAATGCAAATATAAAACGATAAACCTTGAAATCATCAAAGCTATTGAATAGTTCCAAGCAGATGGCGTTAAGTTAAACACAATACCTCGAAATCATCATAAGCATTGAATGGTTCTGTGTGGATGGCATTAAACATAATGAATATTGACAGTAGGAGATGGTCAGAACTCGTCAACACAACCAGAGACTGACACTGGTTATAGCAAAAGATGGCTCATTCAGGAAACACGTGAATGCATGGGCAGGAGCGTGTGGAGAAATGAATATCTAGTGCTTCAATGGTCAGCAGCAAATACTAAGTGGTACAGTTTAATAATAGCAGGATATGAGACATAGGAGGACTTCACTTATCTGACTGACTTGCTAATAATAAAGAAGACTGCTGACAGACTCCCTAAACTCAACACAAGACTGAAGACAGTTTTCATCTAAAGAACATTGGTTAATCCTTTGAGAACTTTAAAGGCTTATCTGATAATCTACATTTAAGGCCACAGCAGCATTTCATTCAGTGAAAAAGTAAGCCACTAGATAAGGTGCAGTCATTGAGCAATCGGGTATGATCTAATGTTTTGAGTAAAATAGTATGAGTAGAGTAAGAAAACAGGGAAATATTTAACACAGGTCACACTGGTCAACGTGAAGACTGCAGGAAAGAGGGGAAGAATGTAAGTTGGTCAAACGTAAGACTATGTAGAAAGGACAGATGCTACTTGTTTAACGCACTTTAACTTGGGCATTATTACTAGGTGAAACCTTGTAATAATCATTCGCCTGTGCCAACGCCAATGCCAAAATACTCAAAATAATTGATGAATACAATTCATTGTAGAAACAAACACAAATGTGGAGGAAAACGTTTAGAAAATTTTCTATCTTTTGTCTTAAGGTCACTGTGTGTAAACTGTCACAGGTCTTTTATAATATCTGAAGACTTTCGAAAAGTCGTCCTCCACACTTGTGTCTTCTTTTGAAACAGGTAGTTGCTGTCCATTCCAGTATAGTCATAATGACTACTCCACCTGAACAATCTGTTAAAGACTACTGAAGTGTTTTATTTTAGCAAAAGTAACAGTATAATAATCTTACTTATATTGGGTACTTACAGTTAACATATATTAGGTCGTCAATAAATTAACGTCGCGTTTTGGAACACTTTCATTACCCCCCCCCCAAAAAAAATACATCGTTTATAATAGTTAAACGAACTGCCTAAACGTCACGTTAGTGTAGCCTATATAATGTGTAAATATTAGTATATTCTAATCCCTTATAGTGATGGCACACATCGAGACACACATTTGTCTTGTAACGCTCTTTGAATAAAAGAAGAGAAACAACGCCTCTGTAGCCACGAAGAATATCAAAGTTTATGGCAATATTTGAACGTTCGTAAGTGTGAACAAATGTTCAGCAAATTTCGTTCAGGTGGCTTTAACCTTAAAAATTATAATGTCAGGGATCGGCACGTTGGAATTGATATTGATGCTCTGAAGATGCTTGTTGAGTCTAACCCAAGGCAACACACTAGTGAAATGACCCCGAAATTGCATGTCTCTCATGAAACAATACGTAAACATCAAAGAAATATGGGAAAACTCCATACAGAAGGTGTTTGAATGCCTCACTAACTCTCCGATGATCATCGTTTCCAACGTGTGAACGTTGCTTCATCTCTTCTGGCGCATAATGCGCGTGAACCATTTTTAGATAGAATTGTCACCGGTGATGCAAATTGGATTCTCTATGCGAATATTAAATGCCAAGAGCAATGGCTCAGTCCTAAACAAAACCACTTTTGACCCCAAAATCTGTACTCTATCCGCAGAAAGTGATGTTTTGCCTTTGGTGGGACATCAAAGGAGTAATTCATTTCGAACTCCTCAATCCACAGCGAACTGTCAATGCAGAGATATACAGGCAGCAACTGGAACGTTTAAATTAAGCCCTTCATCAGAAACGCTTTTCAACCATCAATCGGAAAGATGTTCTTCTTCTCCACGACAATGCACTTCCACATGTGGCACGTTTGACGCAACACAAAATTATGGAGTTGGATTGGGAAGTTCTCCCGTCACCCACCATATTCACCAGATATGACACCATCAGATTACCAACTTTTT